ACTTGTCTGAGGTGTTTTCTGACATCAACCAATTATATGGTCCCAGATTCTCTGATGCCTACGGGGTATCCTATCATTCAATTCAATTCTGACACTTAGTATCTGTAGTTAGTTAGCAAAGACCCCACAGGTTGTGGGCTGAGTCTCACAGACTATAACCATTTCAGATGCCAGTAGAAATTCAGGAGTTTCTATGACCCCTTACAGGTTTGATAATTTGCTAGAACACCTCAAGGAACTCAGATAAACACTTTAGTGGTTTACTATGAAGGATACAACTCAGAAACAACCAAATGGAAGAGATGTACAGTACAGGGCAAGGTACTGGGGGTGAGAGTGGTGTACCACAGCTCCGGGAGCTTCCATTCTCTCTCCAGGTATGTTACCTTCCAAGTACCTTGATATGTTCACCAATGTGGAAGCAATTTGCATAAGTTTAGGAGTTTGTATGGAAGTCTCATTACATGGGCACAACTGATTAAATCATTGGCCATTGGTAATTGAATTCAACTTCCAGCCCCGCTCCCCTCCCTGAAGGTCAGGGGGTGGGAATGAAAGTTCAAACCCTCTAATCCAGCAGTTCTCAACCTGTGGGTCGAGAAAAATGAAAATACATCCTGCATATCAGATATTTACATTACGATTCATAACAGTAGCAAATTACAGTTATGAAGTAGCAACGAAAATTTTATGGTTGGGGATCACCACAACATGAGGAACTGTATTAAAGGGTCGCGGCATTAGGAAGGTTGAAAACCACTGCCTGAGTGATTAGTAATCACTCAGTTGGTTTCTCTGGCCATCAGCCCTCTTTTTGAAGCTCTCTAGCGGCTCGCCAGTAGTCACTTTATTAGCATAAACTTAGGTATGGCTGAAAGGGACTCATTAGGAATAACAAAAGACACTCCCATCACTCAGAAAATTCCAAGGTTTTTAGGATCTCTATGGCAGGAACTGGGGACAAAGACCAACTATATATATATTTAATGCACATCTGAGGATATGTTGTTTGTTCATTTGTTTTTTAAATATATTTGTATTGATTTTAGAGAGAGAGGAAGAGAGGGAAAGAGCGTGAGAGAGAAACATTGATTGGTTGCCTTCTGTACAAGCCATGGATCGAACCCACAACCTAGGTGTGTGCTCTAATCATGAATCAAACCTGCAACCTTTAGGTGTACAGAATGAGACTCCAGCCAACTGACTCACACCAGCCAGGGCCCAAATATATTTTTTTTTATTATGCCACAACTTGATATTGTCAGGAGCAGGAGTATAGTTATTCAGTATTTGTAGTTTCTATCCCTCAAACTAGAAGGTAAGCTGTATGAGATTGTATCTAACTCACCTTTGTACCCCTAGCATCTAGCACAGTGCTTGGCACATTGTTGCTTTGTAAACCATTGAATGAATGTGAATGAATAAACACTAGAGTCTGGCACTGCTGACTTCTGCAGTCTGTGAGTGTTTTTAAGACTGTTTGGTGCTAATCTGGGCACTGGATCATGTATTTCCCAGCTCATTTGGGTTTCCTGAGAAGCTCAGCTCGTGTCCTGCTGTTGAATCTGTGTTTGTCTGGAGGGGAATTCAGAGTTCATAAATTAGTTTGTTTCCAAATAATAAAAAAAAAAAACTGGGTTTCAGGGAAAGCAGGCAAGTTGAGATGTCAAAATCTGTCTCACAGTGTGTTCTTCATAGGACACTGCTTTTCTGTATGATAGCCAACTCTACTAAATAATTTTTCAAATTAGTTTTCTGGGGGTGCTATGATTTTTTAAAAAAACTCAGAACTTTAGAAGTTTGGCATATGCCTGGATATTTAAAAACTGTTGTTAAATCCAAAGAATTTTGGTAAGAATAGTGTGCATGTGTGTATACACACAAACTATGTAGTCAATGGTTATTTTTTGTATTTTTATTGTTTTTCTTTATTTAATGTCTCTTAACTTTACAAAGGAAATAACACTTTGGGAAATTAAATACTGCCTTTGCTGATTGCCTTATTTGAACAGAAGTTCAGGAATACCCATTTCCTGTTTTGATGGTCAACAGAATGGAAGTTACAGATCTTTACACAATGAAAGAAATATGATCCCTGCTAGCCAACTGTTTTAGCTAGTGAGGTATCTAAAAGTATCCCACCAGTGGCGTGATTCTGCAGGAAAAGCACTGAGCTAGGTGTCAGGTCCACCTAGATTTTATTACTCCTGAATTTTGGACTTTTGGAAAGTGACTCAACTTATTGCAACCTGATTCATATTCATTTGTAAAACTGAAATAGTATCTCCTTAGCTATCCTCGGGGGGATAATGGATAAAATAAAATAATATACGCAGGTTCCCGCTAGAGAGGCCAAGGATAGTACTTGTCTACCCTGGGCCCATCCCAGCTTCACTTCATGGTTTCAGCCTAAATATAAATAGTCTCAGTTCATGGCCCAGTGAGAACCATTGTCTTTTAATAGGTAAAAGGTCTAGCACTAGCCTAGTGTGTATGCTTAGCCTCTGGAATTGATTTGGGCCCCCGGGAGACTTTACAAGCATCAGGCTTTAGTTTTATCTCCTACTCTGCCATCTGCTTTTGGTTGTTTAATTGGACTTTGGCTCTGATCTGGAACCTCAATTCTTCCCCTGAGTCTCTGTTGAAATTGGGGCCCTGGCCTAAATCTTTTTGCCTAGTTTCTGGTAGGCAGTTGGCAGAATCGCTTGTATTATTTTCCCCAGTTCTTTCAGAAGAATGACTTAATCCCAACTATCCTGAAGAACTTTCCCACCCTGGGGCTTTGATATACCTCTTGATTCCATACCTCTTGGGTGACAGCAACCCTGGTCTGCTTCATATGTGGGTGTAGACCTGCTTCCTTTTGGTGTAGACCCGCTTCCAGCTAGGGAGGGGCTCTTCCAACTAGTCTTATCCAGCCTCCTTTCTCTGCACCAAACAGGTTTACTCTCAAATTCTCTTATTCTTAGGAGTTACAACATGCCTTGTATCTGGGGCAGAGTAATGAGAGTGCTAAGGTACAAGCACACAAGTATCATTGGCAGTTTCTATCGATGTCACCAGAAAGCCACCAAACGGGGCTTTTAGAATATTAAAATGAGTTGGCTTTTTAGTGTCTTGCTCTTTACACCAAGAAGTAAAGCATAGCCTTATGCTTTCACCGAGCAAGCTATCAAATCAGGGTGGAAGTTCATATCTAATCAATTTTAACATCTGAGGCATGGTGCATTGTTTCCAACTACATCTTATTAACTATGTTTAACAGGTTTTGCATGTCGACAAATAAATGTACTACATCATTCCAAGATATTATTATGGTTCTATTTCTTTGAATCATACTTTTCTATTATACCATAAAGTATGGTATGGTGAAGTATTTGCAAGAGTCAGAAGATTTGGTGGAAACAGACGTTTGAAGAAAACTTCCTGGAAAGTTTTTTAAAATTTTAGATAGAAGATAAATGAGCTCATTGGAATTGCAATCACAGGAAAAGGATTTTAAATTTAGGTCTCCTCCTCCCCCACACACCATCATGTGAGCAAATTCTCATTATAAAATACCTCACGTAGGCCTGATAAATAATTCTGCCAAAAACAATTGTGAAAGAGCCAAACTAGCTGACATCTGAAAAGCAGATACTAAACTCCTCAAACAATTCTCAGTTTCTCCCCACCTTCAACTTCAATTTATGGTAAAACATTAACTATACAAATGAATAAAAAGGAAAAAAACCTCTTAAGGTAAACATAAAGTTAGTAATGGACTGTCTATGATCCCCTCTTTATTCAGTCTGCTTGCTTTTTATTGTTGTTGTTTATTCACATATTTAGTGTAAAATATATCCTTGGTATCTGAGGGAAATTATTACAAGGAAGATGCTTTTATCCATTGGAATATTAGGTGGTATGTGAACTGGATCCTATCTCAATTCCTTCCTATTTTGGAATAAATCACTAACATCATTTCAGCTACTTTAGAAAAGCATCAAAGTATTCTGGCTTCTTCCTTGATCAGACTGTCAAACCCCAGAGGGAAGGTAGGGGAGGGTGGGGGTAAGGGGGAAAGATCAACCAAAGGATTTGTATGCAAGCATGTAAGCCTAATCAATGGACATAGACAACAGGGGGGGGAGGGCATGAGTTGGGGAGGTTGGGGGTGGGGGGGTTATGGTGGGATAAGGACACATATGTAATACCTTAATAAAAAAATTAAAAAAGTATTCTGGCTTCTTATGTCTCTTCATAGTTTCTGGGCATGGAGGTTCAATCAGGGGTGGATTAAAAACTCAGTGGGGGCTTGAAGGACAAAGGACAATTTGGTGGTGGCCTGAGTTTGTTTGTTTAATTTTATCTGGGCTGAAAGAAAACCTTGTTTGGTTATGTAAAGAAATATTTGATAAACCTTCAATGGGAAAAAAGGTACATGAGACTGAATTTTAATCACAACCTGAAGGATTTTTAGAAATTAGAGATACCTTGGGGCAAAAGAGGAGGCAATTTCAAGGTTGGACTAGTTGACTTCTGAGGTTTTGTTGGATGTTTTTTATTGAAACTGAAGTCCAAGGATGTTAAGGAAATTCCCCAAGGTCACCTAAGCTGATTGTGGGAGGGAGAGCCTAGAGTAGAATCCAGGTTTCAGGTTCCTTGTTCATTTATGACTCTTCATACTTAAAAGATATTTGAAAAAACAGTGGAGTAATTTTGGAGCATGCACTCTGAGGGAACAACATAGAACAGGCAATGAGATACTTACCTTTGGATTATCTTCTAATTCCCAATGTGGTGAGTCACATACTAAAATAATATTGGCATTCTGAAATGCCAGTAGGGAACCAATTAAAAGAAAATCACTCAGATGAACTTTGTGATTTCCTCTGAATCTTTTGACAAATGTAGTCTCTGATGCTGACCTGCACATTTTCTCATGACAGTTGGTAAATTTTGGTGGAAAAAGCAGAGCTCCTCCTACATAAAGACTTCAGTTCTAAGGTCATTTAAAATTCATTAAGCTAAGAAGCTGTTCACTGTGACATATTTCATTGATATTACAGAAGATTTGAGGGTAACTGGACACATTATTCATTTACAGTAAGTCTGGAACTTAAATTTGGGGGGAGGGGATGTGGGAGTGAGAGGTAACTTGTTTTGAATAATGATTTGTTTCACCTTCTTCACTGTTTAAAAAGAGACCCATAAATACTTTTGTAGCAAAAATTGTTTGTTTGACTTGATATAATATTAATTTGAGGAAATTCTGCATTATTTTGCATGAAGCTAATTCATAGGTACTGAATAATCAGCATAAATAACACAATTGCTTGTAATTCTTATTGTTGTTTCCTTACTAACCTCTGTTTTCTATAAAAATCATCATACCTCTTATAAGCAAACCTGGTCCCTTGGAAATATGATAGTTGCATTTTAGAGTTAGAGGTTTTCTGAGATTATATTCTATTTGATTTATTTCTACAACTGAAAACCTCCACTTTGCAGTAACTTTTCTTTCTTAAGTTCAGAAATAACCATAGAACTCCTCTAAAATGAATGATTTAATTTATTTTTATATGATATTTTGATTGACTTTATAGAACCCACATATCCTCTATATGTAGTGTTTATTTGTATAGTGTTTTTACATATATACTAAGTTTATGAAAATAAAAATTGTAATTGTCACTGTGAAATGAACTAGAATCTTATACATTTGTTGCTTGTTTTCCTCTGAAAGTATACAGTTAACACTTAAAAACACATCACTTTTATACATTGCACTCACTTCGGATGCTTCCAGATTAGTTTTCATTTTTAATATGTAAAAGGGTTTATGAAACGAGGACATGAATATAGGGGATTTTTCAGTAGTTTTTTTATTTTAAAAATCTTACCAAATATAGAATGTTTTAGAGAGTTCAAGACTTAAGTAAAGTGCATGGATTTGTTGTTGTTGTTACAGAATAATAACCTAAAGGACAAAGAGATCTGGTTTTCAGTCCCAGCTCTCCCCCATATAACCCTGTGAACTTGGGAGGGACATCCCATTCCCTCTCCCTTGTAATTTATTAGTTTGTAAAAGAAATCAGATGTCCTGACTCTGCCTAATGTCATGAAAGGCAATAAAAAAGTTAGAAACAGTAATTTAAACAGAAGGATTAAACAAAAAGAGGTGGAACAACTGTTAGATTCTTTTCATTTTTTGTTTTAATGCAAAGATCTTACCTGTAAATGCAAACCTGCTTTCAAGGTATTTTTTGATAATGAGAGAAATATCACTCGTGTTTTGCTACAGCTTGGATGAGTTGGGGGTAGGGTGGGTTGCTTGTTCCTTTTGATGTATTTTTCAGAGTGCCTTCAAGGAATTTATAGGAGGTATTAGTTCTACTTTGAATGTTTGGTAAAATTTGAAAGAGGTGGCTTCTGGACATGGGAGAAGTGGAAGGCAACTAATAACACTTGAGTTATATGCTACTATATTGCAGACATTTTATATGTATGATCTTATTTAATTATTACCTGAACCTCAAGAATTATTGCCTTAATTTTTTATTAAATTTATTGGGGCGACATTGGTTCAAGAAACCATACAGGTTTCAAGTGTGCAACTCAGTAGAGCATCATCTGCACACTGTGTCATGCGCCCATGGCCCCAAGCAAAGTTTCTTTCTGTCCCCATTTTCCCCACTCCTTTGCCCACCTCCACCTACCTCCCACCCCCCTTTCCCTCTGGCTATCACCACACCTTTGTCTGTGTCTATGTATTATTTATATATATATATTTTTTAGCTCAAACCCTTCACTTTCTTTCATCCAGCCTCCTAATGCTTCTCCCTTTTGACAGCTGTCAGTCTGTTCCAATGTGTTTGTCAGTTTATTTTGTTCATTAGATTCCACATATAAGTGAGATCATATGGCGTTTGTCTTTCTCTCAACCTAATACACTCCAAGTCCATTCATGCTCTAGCAAAAGATAATATTTCCTGTTTTTTTTAATTATGTGATACATCACATTTATTGATTTGCAAATAATGTACCAACTTTACATCACTGGAATAAGTCCTACTTGATCATGATATATGATCTTTTTAATGTATTGCTGAATTTGGTTTTCCAAAATTGTTTTGAGGATTTCAGCATCTTTATTCATCAGGGATATTGGCCTATGATTTTCTTTCTTTATCTGGTTTTGGAATTACAATAATGCTGGCCTTGTAAATAGAACTTATAAGTCTTCCCTTTTCCAGAATGTTTTGGAATAGTTTGAGAAAGATAGGTATTAGTTCTTCGAATGTTTAGCAAAATTTGCCTGTGAAGCCATCTGGTCCAAGATATTTCTTTGCTGGGAGTTTTTTCATTACTTTTTCAATTTCATTAGTTGTAATTGGTCTATTCAGATTTTCTGATTCTTCTTGATTCAGTTTTGGAAGATTGTATTTTTCTAGGAATTTATCCATTTCACCCAGGTTGTTCAATTTGTTAGCATGTAAGTGTTCATTGTATTTTCTTACAATCCTTTATGTTTCTGTGGTGTCAGTTGTTACTTCTGTTCTTTCATTTCTGATTTTATTTATTTAGGTTCTCTCTCTTTTTTTGTGAGTATGGTTAAACTTCATGAATCTTGTTTATCTTTTCAAAGAACCAGCTCTTGGTATCACTGATCTTTTGTAATTTTTTTTTGTCTCTATGTCATTTATTTGTGCTCTAATCTTATTATTTCCTTCCTTCTTCTTACTCTGGGTTTTGTTTATTGTCCTTTACCTAGTTTTTTTAAGTGTAGGGTTAGATTGTTTACTTGAGGTTTTTCTTACTTCTTGAGGTAGGCGTGTAATGCTATGAACTTCCTGCTCAGGACTGCTTTCATTGTGTCCCATAGGTTTTAGGTTGTTATGTGTTCATTTTCATTTGATTCCAGGTAAATTTTGATTTATTCTTGATCTCATTGCTAACCCATTCATTCGTTAATAACATTATTCAATCTTCATGTGTTTGAATGTTTTTCAGTTTTTTTATTGTAAATTATATCTAGTTTCATACTAAAAATCATACCAAGATGCTTGATATGATTTTAATTTCTTAAGTGTATTAAGACTTATTTTGTGTCCTAACATGTGGTCTATCTTTGAGAATGTTCCATGTGCACTTGAGAAGAATGTATATTTTGCTGATTTGGATTGAAATGTTCTATAAATATCAATTAAATACATCTGATTCTGTGTGTTGTTTAGGTTGCTATTGCCTTGTTGATTTTTTGTCTGGAAGATCTATCCATTGATGTCAGTGGGATGTTAAAATCCCCCACTATGACTGTATTGTTGCCTATCTCTGCCTTAATGTCCACCAGGATTTTCTTTATATATTTAGGTGCTCCTATGTTGAGTGCATATATGTTTATAAGAGTTATATACTCTTTTTGGATTGATCCCTTTAGTATTATGTAGTGACCTTTGCCTCTTTACATGGCCTTTGTTTCAAAGTCTATTTTTTAAATAAAAATATTATTACACCAGATCATTTTTGTTTTCATTTGCATGTAATATTTTTTCCATCCCTTTAGTTTCAGTCTGTGTATATTTTTAAATGAGTTGGGTCTCTTGTAGACAGCATATATATGGGTCATGTTTTCTTATCTATTCAGCTATCCTGTCTTTAGAATGGAGCATTTAATCCATTTATATTTAAGATTATCATTGATAGGTTCTTAATTATTGCCATTTTATTTTTTATACCTATGTTCCTCTCTCTCTTGATTTCTCCTTCTCCTTAAAGCAGTCACTTTAATATTTCTTGCAATACTGGTTTGGTGTCAATAAATTCATTTATGTTCTTTGTGTCTGGGAATCTCTTTATTTAGCTTTTTATTTTAAATGATAGCTTTACTGGGCAAAGTAGTCTTATTTGTAGGTACTTGCTTTTCATCACTTTGAATATTTCATGCCAATTCACCTGGCCTGAAATGTTTCTGTTGAGAAATCAGCCAATAGTCTATGGGTACTCCCTTGTAATAACTATTTTTCTCTTGCTGCTTTTAAAATTGCCTCTTTGTCTTTAACTTTTGCCATTTTAATTATGATGTGTCTTGGTGTGGGTCGCTTTGGGTTTATCTTGATTGGGACTCTCTGTGCTTCGTGAACTTATGTGACTTTTTCTTTCACCAGGTTAGGGAAGTTTTCTCTCATTATTTCTTCAAACAACTTCTCTCTCCTTTGCTCACTCTCTTCTCCTGGTGCTGCTCTGATGCACATGTTGCTGCACTTGATGTTGTCCCAGAGGTCCCTTAGAATTTCCTCATGTGTTTTTTTTAAATCCTCACCTAAGTATATGTTTAGGAAGAGAAAGGGGGAGAAAGAAAGAGAGAGAGAGAAAGAGAGAAAGAGAGAGAGAGAGAGAGAGAGAGAGAGAGAGAGAGGAAACATCGGTGTGAGGGGAGAGAGAGAGAGAGAAACATCGATGTGAGAGAGAAAACATTGATCGGTTGCCTCCTGTATGTGCTCTGATATGTGCCCTGACTGGAAATTGAAGCCACAAACATTTTAGTGTACAGGAAGATGTTCCAACCAACTGAGCCACCCACCCAGGGCTTTTTCTCATTTTTAAAAATTCTTTTCTTTTTGATGCTCTGCTTGTGTACTTGCTATTATCTTGTCATCTATATTGCTGATCAGATCCTCTGCTTCATCTATCCTACTATTGATTCCTTCTAGTGTATTCCTCATTTCAGATATAGTATTCTTCATTTCTGACTGGTTCTTTTTTATGGTTTCTATGATCTTTTTAATGCTTGTTATCTCTATGTTTAAGTTGTCACTGAAATCATGCATTCTTCCCCTAAGGCTGTGGTTGGCAAACTGTGGCTCACGAGCCACATGCGGCTCTTTGGCCCCTTGAGTGTGGATCTTCCTAAGCCTTAGGAGTACCCTAATTAAGTTAATAACAATGTACCTACCTATATAGTTTAAGTTTAAAAAATTTGGCTCTCAAAAGAAATTTCAATCGTTGTACTGTTGATATTTGGCTCTGTTGACTAATGAGTTTGTCAACCACTGCCCTAAGGTTCTTGAGCATCCTTATAACCATTGTTTTAAACTTTTCATCTG